ATGAGATTTCATGTAAGTCAAATTAAGAACCAGTCCTCAACCAAGAAATTTTGCTTTTCAATGGCTCTCATTTATTTTGAAGAAAAATTTCCTTACCTGAAAATAAATAATTGTCCTTCAAAAATATTTAGTGCACATAACATCTGATTTTTGGCTTTCACAAACAAGGATTTTGAAGTGTATACAGAGTGTATTTGGCACACAATGCAAAGTCTACATGCTTTGGTAATCTGGCGCTGTGCCCTTCACATAAGTAAGAGTAGGCAACCCATGGAAAACTAGATTGTTTTATTAATTTTCACTGTTCAAACTGTATAGTCTCACTTGGTCAATCCTTATGCTAACCTATCCACAGTAAATTGATACCAGTATTTGTGTTAGAATTATATCAGCACAGCTAAGAATACTGGGTGAACAAGTATTCAGTGGCCAGTGATCCCAGTAATATGCATAAATTAATTGTGTAGCTGTAGTGTGGCGATGGGATTGCCTCCCATAAGAATCCCCTACACTGTGGTTTTAGTTTTGTATAATTATAATATAGTGAGTTCTCAGAACATATTCTTTTATTTGATACAATTAATAAATCATTTACTATATAATACCATAATACCTACCATTTACTCTTAGAATTTGCTGCAATACCTTTTGTGGCACAAGACTTTCCCCCAGCATCGCTAGCCTAGTGCCCCCCCCCCACCTACTCAGCAGTATCCCCCACTGGCCACACATCTATATACTTTAGGAATACATAGTGTTCTACAGCATATGAGTCATAATATCATTTACTCAAGTAACAAGGCTTGCAGTTCTTATCTCTTTGGTACCATTGCATTTCAGGTTATTAAATGGTTGTTAAATGGTGAATGCTTTTTGTTATAGATTCACCAGATAGGAACTTACATGTTTGCCTAGCAGTATTATTATTATTATCAAGTAGTTAGTTAGTTAGTTAGTAGTAGTTAGTTAGTAGTTAGTTAGTAGTTAGTTAGTTAGTTAGTTAGTTAGTTAGTTAGTTAGTTAGTTAGTTAGTTAGTTAGTTAGTTAGTTAGTTAGTAGTAGTTAGTTGTTAGTGTTAGTTGTTATATAGTATTATTATTATTACTGTTATTATTATTAATGCTATTATTACTGTTATCTTTATTATTATTACTGTTATTATTATTATTATTAACTACTATTATTATTGCTGGTATTTTTATTAATGTATTTATTATTACTGTTGTTATAGTTATTGTTATTAATAATAAAAATAATGATAATAATAATATTAATAATATTAATACTAAAAGTAGTAATAATAATAATAGTAGTAATAATAATAATTATTATTATTATTGTTATTGTTGTTGCTATCATCATTAATCATCATCATTGTTATTATTATTTATGTTATTATTATTATAGTTGTTATTAATATTATTTGTATTACTGTTGCTGCTGTTGTTTTTATTATTATTGTTACTATTATTAGTTATCAGTATTTTATTTTTATGATAATAATGATTTTTCAAATTTATGATTGTCCCTATTCCGTATAACTTGTTCCCACCTGTTTTCTATCAAACTGATGACAAAATATAAAAAGCTGATATTAGTAATAGTTATAGAATAAAAAGTCATGTTAATGATGTTAATCATTATTCATATTTTGGCAAGTGTGTGTGTGTGTGTGTGTGTGTGTGTTGTGTGTGTGTGTGTGTGTGTGGTGTGTGTGTGTGTGTGTGTGTGTGTGTGTGTGTTGTGTGTGTGTGTGTGGTGTGTGTGTGCCTGTCTGTGTTTGAGTTTGGGTGTTTGTTTATGTTAGTGGTTAGGGAGTACATGTGTGTGTGTTTGCACATGTGTATAAATTCCATCTTGTAACTTATGATGTTTTTTGTCCAACAGATTTCCTTGCAGCTGAAGATGTTTCCAGAGAGGAATGAAGATCAGCATGCATATCAGCTGAGGAAGTCAGTGGAAGATCTAACAACTTCCGGCAAAGACAAGTTAGATGAGGAAACTTTCAAGAAGGTGAAGAAGATATGCAAGAAGTCAGACTTCTATGTCATAGAGTTATACAAACTGCTTTGCAAACATTTGAAGAAGAACCATGCAGAGATACGATACAGTGCCTTCCAGATTTGTGACGAGATCTTTCGAAGATCTCACTGTTTTCGGGAACTGCTACTTAAGGACTTCAAGACATTTGCTGACCTGACGCTTGGCCTTGATCCCAAAAAGCCATTGCCAAAACCAAAAGCTGTAGCACAAAAACTCAAACAGAAGTGTGTTGAGACCATTCAGCAGTGGTACGATTCCTACTCACATGGTTATAAGACCTTAAAATTAGGCTATGTTTATTTACGAGACTGTAAAAAGGTGGATTTTGCTGAACTTACAGCCAGATCAGAGAGTGAGCGCCAAGCAGCAGAAGAAGAAAGAAGGAGATTGGAGGAAGTAAAAAGAAAAAAAATTGAAAAGATTACAAATGAAATGGAAAACAGTACTGCGGAGATAAAAGACAGCATAACTGAATTTCAAAATTGTTTTCGATTATTAATACCTGACCTTCATGACTTCTTCATACCCTTAGATGACCAAGATGGCCAAGAACCTGGTGGATTCTTCTTTGAGGAAGATGCTGAGAGCCCCCAAGAGGGTGGATTCATACCAGATGAGAGTAGAGAAGAGAAGGAGTTTGAGTATGGATCAGATTTAATGCGGGGACATGGAATCATGAAAGGGACAAGTGTACAAATCAACTTGGGTGATGTAAGGAAAGTGCAAGAAACTAGAGACAATGAGATTGTGATACAGAACTTGAAGGAGAATGTCAGTGTCCTCAAGACAAAGTATGTTCCTCTGGTAAAGAGATGGGAACAGACAATGAGGCCACACAGTGAAGGGAATGGCGCACTTATAAAACGGATTCTCGATATCAAAAATGTAGTTGAGGGATCAGTTAGAAAGTTTGAATCTGTCCAGATCATACCTCAGAAATTACAAAAGCCAGTCAGTAATGAAGACTTTGACAGTGATAGTGATGATGACTTCATAGAAGTTCCTTTTGATGATCCTCGTGTCATCAGTGCTGCAGCATCAGAGGCAGCTCTCCTGGGAATCAGTGGACCCTCTCATCAGTCAGGAAGTCAGAAGTCAGTTGACCCAGATAATCAACCATCAACTTCAGGTGTGAATTTTAATGCAGAAATATCTCTTAAACAGTTGTCCAAAAAGGAGGGTGTTAAGAAAGTGGATGCAAGGTGTCCTGATGAATACCTCAGCAAAGAAACAATGAAGCCTCAGCGTCACCACAATCCTCTTGCAGGGTTAAGCCAGGTCTGGACAGCAACTCCAGACCTTCATGAACAAGATGAAATGGAAACAACAGGTGGCATCTTAGGCATTGCAACACAGCGTGTCAATTATGAGCGTACTTGGGAGCCTGTAAAGTGGGAATGTAGAGCTCCACTTGCAACTGGACGCCTTTGTCCTCGCAGAGATCGAGAGAGATGTCCTTTGCATGGTCCAATTATACCAAGAGATGAAATAGGACAGCCGGTGCGTCCAGAAGATGTTGCCCGGGAACGTGCTGCTAAGGAAAAGTATGAGCAAGAAAACCCTGCTTGGCAAGACCCTCAACTGCTAGCTGAGATAAAAGCTGCCACAGGTGTTGATTTGAAAGTTCCTAAAGGCAGAAGTCGGATACGTGAAAAGTACAAAAATTTGACAGATATAAAAAAGACAACCCCTCGAGAGCGTCTGGCAAAGAAAGTATTAAGTAAAAGAGCAGTGAGACGTTTAAATTCGGCTCTAGCCCGGGACCACTCTGCACCTCAGAACTCTTCAAGTTTCAACTTTGGGTGAAAATATTTTGTTTCTACTTATTGGTAGACCATAAATGTTGCCAGATGGGTATGAATTTTGAAAATGATGTAAAATTATTTTTTTAGGAGGTCATTGCACAGACTTACTGGGTCAAATATGCCTTATGATTGTATTTTATACTCTGAAAGTACTTTCTTAGTGAGGATTTGTTTTATTATTAGTAAGTAGCATTGTGTGTTGAAAGCTTTAAAACAAGTAATATCAAAGGATAGCAGGTAAAGTAATATATTGATTTGATATTTATTTATTTTCATATTAGGCAATATAGATGTGAATATTTGGATGTTAGTAATTGGTCTTCTTGTCATTAATGAGGCATTAGTTAGGTAATGTATGAAGTTTTATTTATTTTAACTGTTATTGTAAGCTTTATTTAATGCATATATTTTTTGTTGCATTTTTTTTGTATCTGTACCATTTCTACAGAGGATTTCTATTATAAATGCATGATTGAATAAAATTATATTTATTATGATATTGAATTTCAATGTTAGTTTAGAATAGACCTCAACTTTATTAGA